TGATGCATGATGCAATTTCTTCTATGTGCTTTTTTTTTTAGCAGAGCTTGCATATACAATGGAAGTGAACGAGAAGTGCGATGTTTATAGCTTTGGAGTTGTCACACTGGAAATAATTATGGGGAGCCATCCAGGAGATTTTTTCTCATCTTTGTCATCCGGAGCATCATCATCATCCTCATCTGCATCACCTGCCCCTGAAATGCCAATTTCGGAAGTTCTAGACCAACGCGTCTCCCCACCCACAAAACAAGAAGCAGGGGAGGTGGTCTCTCTGGTGAAGATCGCATTTGCATCCTTGAATCCCAGTTCGCAGTGTCGTCCAACAATGAAGAAAGTTTCTCAGCTCCTATCATCAACTCAGAGGTTGCATTTGTCAAAGCCATTACATATGACAACATGTGGTGAATTGCTTGCTCTTGATGGTTTCACTGCCTGATCAGGACATGTGCTGCTTTTCATTGGAGTATGCCTTATTCTAATTCTTCTTAGATGTTTGGATTATTGTAATCTATTTCATGCCCACTTCTGTCTTTTGGGTTATTAGTATTTAGAATATTTTTCGTAATGTATGTATGTATCAATTTGCCACCTAAAAGATTATGAATATTTTTCGTGCTATTAGCCCAACCCTGTCTAGCATTCCGTTAAAACTTCACTCGTAGTGCTCTTTTTTATTGTACAGAATAGTGATTCCTCAACAAAAATATAAAAAAATAAAAATAGTGAACGTACACTCAAAATACAACAAAATCATTAATTAGAGGACAGATAAAGTGATGATTCAACATTTTCTTTGGAGGGACACATTGAGACACGACACAAAATTCAAGTGGCATCAGTTTGAGTTTCTTTTCTTCTTTTTTAAAATACTTTTAAACTTGATTATGTAAAATGAATGACGTAATTCCTTTTTCTTTCTTCTGTTTTTCTTGATAGTCCAAAATCAAAATGACATGGAAAATAAAATTTGGCATTTGTTTCAGTCTCTGGAACGTGGACTCAACTAATTGGGAAGTCTTCTCTCTTGCTGTGACAATAACACGTTGGCATAAATAATGTCAATCCACAATCTCGTCAAACAATGAAACAAGTCTCTCAACATGGGTTTTTATTACAGGTAGTCTCTTTAAAATTCTTATTTTAGTCCTCAGATGTTCAAATCAATAAATATGATCCTTTATATTTTGATCTACACATCAATTTGGTCTTTATTGTCGCATTCCAACAAAACTTGGTTAAAATTGGTCACATATCATCATCTCACCAACTTTAAAGGATATTTCATCAAATTAAAGCTCAATTTAGTCCTAAAACTCAAATTTTTGCTCAACAAAATCATATGCTTTCCATTTAGAATTTCATATTCAAGTATCGTCAAGGAGAGTACACAGCCTTGTTGAGCAAAATATGTAATTTTTTACTCTATTTTTCAGGGTTTCAATTCCTTCATCCAAACATAAAGCCTCTCAACCCTGGCTATTGAAATCTGTCTACTTACCAAGCTAGAAAAAAGTCGTAGGATTAAGGATCACATTGATTGATTTGAAAGTTTGAACACGCTCATTTTAAGGCTTCTCAAACTCTCAATAGCAGCCAAGTCAAGTGACAACATGTTGCTTAATTAAGTCTTCTTCATCTATTCATTATGAAATTTTACTAATAAGGTTAAACTTGAATTTAAATGTATTTTTGTTTAAATATTTTGTAGGGTTAACTTGAATATTTACAGGGTTTAATTGAAACATCTATAAATATATGATAGAAATTGTGTTCTTGACTCATGGGTCGTAATAATAGGAAGGAGAAAACGGCATTCAAGTAACAACCTCATTTCACTAAAGTTCAGTGACAACATTCAAACTTTCCAATTTTAACAGACAAAGACTTTGACTGAAGATATGTATGCTTCTTTCCTATATTTCAATGTGTCAGAGTTCTAATATTTTCTTGTTAGAGAAACTATATTGAGACCCAACAATCCAAATAAGAAAAAATAAAAATGTACAAAGCTATAAATAAATAAAAAACACCACTAATAGAGCAACGACCTCAACCCCGGCTATTGAAATCGCTCTTGAATTTGTACCTAATTTTCATTTTAATCTATAATTATTTAATTTTGAAAATTAAGCCATGTTAACACCAGATCTATGCATAATATTACTCGAATATATCCACACACAAAAAACGTTACTTTTCTCTCTATTTTTGTTATAATTATTTTATTTTGTGTGTATATCTATGTTATTTTATTTTTCAGTTTTTTAATTATTTATAAGATACAAATTGACCAATTTGCCCTCATAGTGCCCACATGGTATCTTTTAACTGTAAAATAGTTGGAATGTAAGGAAATTTAGCACTAGAGGGGAGATTGACTAAAAAACATGTTTGTATTCTGAATTTTCTCAAATAAAAAAACAATGGGTAAAATGAAAGTTATGTACAAATTTAGGGGGAATTTCAAAACTTTAGCCTTTTATTTTTACACCCCAAATAACCGATATTTTAAATTAAAAAAACTGAAGAAATAGCTTTCATTCAACTACAGGGCAAGCAAGCTAATAAATAACCGATGTATTTTGTGTTGATAAATTAAAAAAATTAAGTTGACTATTAAAAAATTAGTGGCAACGGAGGAGCACAATTATCAAATGAATTTATCCAATAAACGACAAAACAAACCATCAATTACGCATTCCTATTCCTAGGTACAGTAAATCAAATCAATAAGGGCTCATTTGGTACACCGTAAAAGACTCTACTATAACTATAAAGAACGAGAGACAAAGACTTTGACTCCAGCCATTATAAGAACAACCACTAAGACAAAGACTTTATTACAATTCTAACAATGGCAGAAAGCTCACTCAAGCATTCAGCTGGGTGGGACACAGCTAAACCCCTATGTCATCCATATGGTTATCTCTCTCACCTTCGTCAATTTCATTTCATTATTTCATCCAGAAAATACAAAATTGGCATGTAAATTTAGAGAATGAAAGACTGAGACTTTCACTCAAAAGAAAACTGAATGGCGTAGATGAAATTGCATTGACGAGTTATTCCTCTTCAGATTTGTTGGGGACAGCTGGAGTGGATTAATTTTTCCACTAAAGCAAAGCAAGAAGCATGTTTTGTTTGAATTGTTCTAGTCGTGACAGGACTACAACATTTCAGGGTTAATCATGCTTTGAGAAAATGCAAAAGTTGTTTTTTTCAACTTTAAAGAAAAGGGACAAAGACTTTCAGTGTGAAAACCCCAAAC